AAAATATATAGCATGGAATAACATTTCATCTTCCCCTTCCCTGCTTTATCCTGTCTTAGGAAACTCTAAATTTCAGCCTATGCTTATGGACCTGGGAGCTTGGTAGGGTCTAGAGCTGGAAGTGTTACATTTAGAGAACATTTAAGAACTTACACTGCTTGCCATCAGTTCAAGACATGATGAATGAACCTGCTTAAATACAACTAGGCTTTTGGAGAACTCCTTCACTTCCCACATCTTTCTTACCAAAGTTGGGAACCTTTTGTTTACCCCCTGGTGTGTTTTGAAGCATTGTATACAGGTCAAGGCCCAGTGAAACATATCTTGCCCACATTATATATGGCATTGGTGTTGCCCATTCCCGTAATATATTTCACCCTACATTCAAAAAAGGAAGAAAGATCTGGGGATGTCATGATCGAATAGACAGATTATTTCACTTTACAAATCCTATGTCAGTAGTACACATAAGGAAACAAAAGGGATAACAGGCGCATGGTGTGGCAGTCCATGTATATTTGATGAGTTACAAATTGGCAGGGGTGAAGGTAGTCCAGTAGGCACTAAGGGCAAGCTGCGTAGGAGCGAAGCATAACTCTGCAGAAGGGAAAACAAAGAAACACAGCGCCTCTAAATGTGTACTGTGAAGGTATTTAATAAAAAGATAAGTAGTAACTCACATCCTAGAATTTAAAAACAGGCTCATAGGTAAGAGGGTGAGAGGTCTGTAGCCAGATGATGTTGTGTGTCTGATCCAGAGAGGAGATCGATTGAGTCCGTCGGCAGGTGGTGCTGTGCATGTGCAACATGGAAGGTAAGCCTGGTGGAATCTCCAAGGTGTCTGCCGGCAGATGGTGCAGTGCACATGCAGCACGGATGGTGCAGCCCGGCAGAGTCTCCAAGATGCCTGGGATCAGCACATGTGGCATCTGACTTCATAAAAATGCAACGTGTTTCTGAGCATGTGCAGGACAAGATGAGTCCAGGTGCGCTCTTTCATCCTCTCTGGATCAGACACACAACATCATCTGGCTACAGACATCTCACCCTCTTACCCATGAGCCTGTTTTTAAATTCTAAGATGTGAGTTACTACTTATCTTTTTATTAAATACCTTCATAGTACACACTTAGAGGCGCTGTTTTTCTTTGTTTTCCCTTCTGCAGAGTTATGCTTCGCTCCTACACAGCTTGCCCTTAGTGCCTTCCGGACTACCTTCACCCCTGCCCATTTGGAACTCATCAAATATACATGGACTGCCACACCATGCGCCTGTTATCCCTTTTGTATTGCTGTTTCTAAAACACTAGCATAGGCTTCCCTTATTGCTCCATTCCTTTTCCTCTTTGATCTCGAGTATGTGCTGAAGATGTTACAGAGATGGCATGGGCTCCTCGTACCACATGCTTTGGAATTGCCCTAAACTCCAGAATTGCTGAATGCTGGGTAAATTACATCACAGAAAACTACTGACTTACCTTTACCACATTGACCTGTCTGTCTTCTTCCTCTTACACCAACAGCAGTTCTCATTTAAGACATACAGTTGCAAGAAAAAGTATGTGAACCCCTTGGGATTACGTGGAGTTTTGCATGAATTGGGCATAAAATGTGCTCTGAACGTCATCTAAGTCACAACAATAGAAGAACACAGTCTGCTGAGCATAATACTACACAAACATTAGATGTTGCCATGGTTTAATTGCACATAACATGTAAATATTCACAGCGCAGGGAGGAAAAAGTATGTGAGGCCCTAGCTTAATGACTTCTCCCAGAGCTAATTGGAGCCAGGAGTGAGCCAACCTTGACTCCAATCAGTGTGATAATATTGGATGTGTTGCTGACAGCTGTCCTGCCCTTAAAAAACACACACCTGTTTTGGGTTTACTGGTTTCAAGAAGCACTGTCTGATGTGAACCATGCCTCGCAGAAAAGAGCTCTCAGAAGACCTACGATCAAGAATTGTTGACTTGCATGAAGCTGGAAAGGGTTACAAAAGTATCTCCAAAAGCCTTGATGTTCACGTGTCCACGGTAAGACAGACTGTCTACAAATGCAGAAAGTTTAGCACTGTTGCTACTCTCCCTAGGCGTGGTCGTCCTGTAAAAATGACTGCAAGAGCACAGCACAGAATGCTGCATGAGGTAAAGAAGAATCCCAGAGTGTCAGCTAAAGACCTACAGAAATCTCTGGCACATGCTAACATTTTTGTTGACACATCTACAATAAGGAAAACATTAAACAAGAATGGAGTACATGGGAGGACACCACGGAGGAAGCCATTGCTGTCCAAAAAGAATATTGCAGCACGTTTGAAGTTTGCAAAAGAGCACCTGGATGTTCCACAGCACTACTGGCAAAATATACTGTGGACAGATGAAACCAAGATTGAGTTGTTTGGGAAGAACACACAACACTATGTGTGGAGAAAAAAAGGCACAGCACACCAACATCAAAACCTCATCCCCACTGTAAAACATGGCGGAGGGAGCATCATGGTTTGGGGCTGCTTTGCTGCCTCAGGGCCTGGACGGATTGTTGTCATTGATGGGAAAATGAATTCCAGAGTTTATCAAGACATTTTGCAGGAAAACGTACGACCATCTGTTCGCCAAATGAAGCTCCGCAGAGGATGGGTAATGCAACAGGACAATGACCCAAAGCATACAAGTAATTCAACAAAACAATGGCTGCAACAGCACAGAATACACCTTCTGGAGTGGCCCAGTCAGAGTCCTGACCTCAACCTGATTGAAATGCTGTGGCATGACCATAAGAGAGCGATTCACACCAGACATCCCAAGAATATTTCTACACTGAAACAGTTTTGTGAAGAGGAGTGGTCTAAAATGAGTCCAGATCGTTGTGCAGGTCTGATCTGCAACTACAGGGAAACGTTTGGTTGAGGTTATTGCTGCCAAAGGAGGGTCAACCAGTTATTAAGTCCAAAGGTTCACATACTTTTTTCCTCCCTGCACTGTGAATGTTTACATGTTATGTGCAATTAAACCATGGCAACATCTAATGTTTGTGTAGTATTATGTTCAGCAGACTGTGTTCTTCTATTGTTGTGACTTAGATGACGTTCAGAGCACATTTTATGCCCAATTCATGCAAAACTCCACGTAATCCCAAGGGGTTCACATACTTTTTCTTGCAACTGTATAAAAAAACCACTACAGATACATCTGGTGAATACAATCATGGTCTGTATACCTGCTCTATGATGTCAACTGAAAAACCCAACAGTAGCACAGTGGTTAAGCAGAATAAATTATATGAAGCATATGGAAGGCCTTAACGCAACAATGAATGGCAAAAGGGAGGCTTCTGGCTGGAATTTACACTCACCAGAGAATGCACATTGTCTCCAACATTGCTATTGACTTGACACATTGAATACTTGCATTGCTAACAATCACATTGCAGGGTTGAGTCATCTTATCTTTCCCATACCCAGCCCTCTTAGTACCCATTTGTATTGATGAGTTATATTTACTGTTAATATTATTTCAAATCTGGCACAGTTTATGTCATTGACAGGCTAATCATTGATCGCGCTACAAACCTTGTTAATCAATATTTTGTGTCTTCTTTGTTGTAGACATAACTTACAATTTTGTAAATAAGAGGAACCGCTGGGTGCGATCTGAGTGTGGTGAAAAGACAAATGGTCACTCACATTGTGATAGTTAAAATCAGGCACGTCACATCATGATTCTACCTGGCATCATGATGAACTTGCTTTTAACAATGTGTGCTGCCATTTGTCTTTTCACCATAATAAACAGGGCTCCTTTTCAGCAGGAACGCAGTTCTGGCACCTCCGGTACTGAATGTATAAAATGACAAGGGGTGCTAGGATGTCTTGGGAAGGGCTATTGTTGATGCTGGCTGCTGGGGAATCACTGGGGGAGGGATATATCGTTGCTGAAAGGGATCTGCTGTTGAGGGAATGGTCTGTTTTTGCTGGCTTCTAAAGAGTCTATTAATGTTGGCTGCTGGGAGATCTGTTGTTGCTGATGGGGTCTATTTTACTGGGGTGGTATTTTGTTGTGGGGGCCCATTGTTGCTGGTGGAATATATTGTTGCGGGGGGAGGGGGTCTATTGTTGCTGGGGGGGTGAACTTTATTGCTGCTAGCTGTGGGAAATCTATTTTACTACTTTTCATTAACAAATCCCATACAAATTACTTAGCACCACAAAATGATACGTGGCTTTGCATTATCTAAAAAGAGCTGTACTGGGCAGTGGGTAGGAGGTGGAACCAAGGGACGGTGCTTGGCGGTGGATAGCGATAAGGAGATAAGAAGTGACTCAAAATGGAGGAGTTCCTGCCCTATTCTCAAAAATATTACACTCAGGTCACGCCCTGCTGGTACTCTTATATGTTTGCCTAGAGATACCTCAGTCTCTTCAGAGGTGTAGCATCTGGTGCATTGAGACCAGCGGGAAGTTACCCTGAACTTGACTGTGTGAACTTTTTGCTGTTGTACATAGACATTTATGTACACACAACACTTGTTGCACCATATACCCCATTAATACTTACAGTTTTTTTTTTTTTTTTTTTTGTATAGAGAATGTCTAAAAATGCATTGGAATTAGTAGGAACATAAAATGCCTCAACATCAGTACCTTGCCTTGGCATCAGTGTGTTTGTATATATATATATATATATATATATATATATATATCATATGGAGGCATATTCATGCTTTCCAATTACATATCTGTTTTGCCCTATAACAAGTAGGTTATGAAACAGCATTATTCATATTATTTTACCTAATATTTCTATCCAGTGGTCTCACTATGTGGTTTTGTTATCTACTTACCCCTGCTTTGTGTTATTTTCATACAGATTTATAGATTTTAATTATTTAAATATTTTAATATTTTACTGATACTAGAAATTGACATAGCAAAAAAAAAATTAACAACTTGTAATCTCTCTCTCTCTCTCTCTCTCTCTCTCTCTCTCTATATATATATATATATATATGCACTATATCAGCAAAAGTATTGGGACACCCCTCCAAATCATTGGATTCAGGTGTGCCAATCACCTCCATGGCCACAGGTGTATAAAATCAAGCACCTAGGCATGCAGGCTGCTTCTACAAACATTTGTGAAAGAATGGGTCGCTCTCAGGAGCTCAGTGAATTCAGGCGTGGTACAATGATAGGTTGCCACCTGTGCAATAAGACCATCTGTGACATTTCCTTGCTGCTAAATATTCCACGGTCAGCTGTTAGTGGTAATATAACAAAGTGCAAGCAACTGGAAACAGAAACTCGGCCACGAAGTTGTAGGCCACGTAAAATGACAGAGCGGGGTCAGCGCATGCTGAAGCGCACAGTGTGCAGAAGTTGCCAACTGTCTGCAGAGTCAATAGTTAAAGACCTCCAAACTTTGTGTGGCCTTCAGTTTACCGCAAAAACAGCACGTAGAGAACTTTATGGAATTAGTTTCCATGGCAGAGGAGCTGCATCCAAGCCTCACATCACCAAGTGCAATGCAAGGCATCAGATCCACTGGACTCTACAGCAGTGGAGACGTGTTCTCTGGAGTGACGAATCACGCTTCTTTTTCTGGCAATCCAATGGACATGTCTGGGTTTGCCAGGAGAACGGTACTTGCCTGACTGCATTGTGCCAAGTGTAAAGTTTGATTGAGGGGGATTATGCTGTGGGGTTGTTTTTCAGGGGTTGGGCTTGGACTCTTAGTTCCAGTGAAGTGAACTCTTAAGGTGTCAGCATACCAAGACATTTTGGACAATTTCCAGATTTCTATGGTGCTCTTAGTGGCCCCTTGCTCTGTAGAGGTTCTTTGTTCTGGAGGCTAGGTGCTCTGGAATTGGCAGATGGCTGTGTGGATGGACCCCGGTAATGGCGACGTGGTGTCTCTTGTGCGCAAGAGACTCTCGAGTCAGACTCCTGACCCATTTTTATATCATACAGGACCAGTGGGTCAGACTCAAGAAAGCCTGTCAAGAATGACCTGGTAAACATGTTAGCACTAACCCTGTCAGCTGGGGCAGCATAAAACATAACCTGCTTATATGCTTATGGACCGATTCATACATATTTACACCCCCTTTAACCAAAAGAGCCCCCACTAGATCTAAAAACTCGAAATCTATCCTGGTAAACACTCCTTAGCTTCAGTAGGACCATCAATGCTTATCTCATGTACAAAAGACTAACATTATATGGTTAAATATGGGTAAATATATTTCTTGGAGAGGATCTTCTTGTGAATAGGTGAAGGTCTGGGGCTGGAGGACTCAGTCCTCCTACATTGTACCATTTAAATTCTTGTAATTTGGAATTCTTTGTACCTTTATCATTTAAAAAAACTACAATAAAAACTTAGCGAAACAAAAGCATTGGTGAGCATGTGATGCTCATTCTACGAACTAACCAAATGTCTCTGCTGCATTTTAAAAAACGTTTTTATGGAAGGCCAATTCTCAGTAAAATTCAAAGCAGTTAGTGAACTTGTAAGGAGTACATCAGCTACAAGATAATGTGCTCTTCTTTAGCTTGCACAATATTTCTGCTAGTATTTCTCCCTTAAAGGATAAGTTCACCTTTTAGACGTAAATAATTAATGCACATTTTTTTGCTGGTAAAAAAAAAACATGCATTTATTATTTTTCTCTGCAGGAGCCTGGAAAGCATTGCACCACTGATGCCATGCAGGTCTCCTGAAGATCTGTCAGTATGTCTGCTTGTCCTCACGGGATGTACAAGCAAGCAGATATTTTGACAGGAAGAATGAACGAACTACCACGGTGCTTTCTTTTTTTCAAGCTTCTTTTGCTTTATTTTCTCTTGGTAATCCTCATAACACAATCCCTATCCCTGGGTGGCTGTCACTCCACCACTATATTTATGAGGAAAGCCTTCATTGTCAGCCTAGGCTACTCTCCTGATATGGACTCCATTTATTGCCGTAGCTCTTGATCTCCATTACATGTAGCGGGAGGGCAATAGGTAGGAAGATAGCCAGGAAGGCAGATATTTTTGCAGAAGCTCAAAGGAATGGAGAAGGACACTGCATGTAAGCAGGTTGCTTACTGGTAGTTAGTAACAGGGGCGGACTGACCATTTGGAAACTTGGGCACTGCCCGAGGGCCCGGGGTCAGTAGGGGGCCCCATGAGATGCCCCTGGTACCTTTTTCATAGGCTTTTTTGAGTTTGGGCAGGGACACAGGGGCCCCATGATCCCCTATTGCCAGGGGGCCCCATGAGTTGTCAGTCCGCCCCTGGTTAGTAAGTTGCTGCCCTAGCTGGGGGAGTGATGGGTAATTTCTTATGGAGTTGGAGTTATCCCTGAAAGTGGCTTCCGCCCTGTCCCGGGGCATTGGTGAGCATGGAACAGTAAAGGTATCCTATGGGTAAGGCGAGTGAGCCTTTCTAGGTGCCTAGCGTAGCCAGAAGAACCCACCCCAGGGGTAGTCCTTTCATGTGACCCATATTTGGCACTCAACAAGGAGGGAAACAGAGAAAATAGATTTCTGTATTTGCTGAAAATGGTTTTAGCCTGAAAAAAAGAAAACACATGAAGCCACCACATCTAAGGACTGCATGCTTCAATACACTACATTTTTGTTCTTGGTTTTAGTTATCCTTTAAGATTGGATTAACAGAGGGATTGCACCGTTTCTGTACGTAAAGAAAAAAATGGCTGAACTGCAGGACCTCCAGCTATTTAAGTAAAGCCAACAGAAATTTTTTTTTTTTAGTTTTGTAAATCTCAAGTTGTGCAGAGCACCTTAGCACAAGTGGCTAATAATCAGAATGTAAATATTCTGCTTTTGTTTTTTCAGCCTTAGAAGGAGGGCAGCAAAAGGTGGTGTCATAAGAGTTACTGACTTGCTTAGCTGGTGGAACCAGCTGAGCGAGGGCTGTACGTGATCGTGTCTTCCTAGCTTTTTCCCTCTCAAGTGAATCTAACACGCATCAGTTCCTTGTAGCTTTATCTGTCACTTGTAGTAAGGCAAAAAAATGTGCTAGGATTACTTAAGCTAACAATTTCTAATTGTATGTGCTGGGAATGATGATGAAAATCTCTCTGTCTGACTTTAGTCTACACTCCATCTGACTTTTCCTCTTCACATTTTATTTTTCTTGTCACTCTATGGCCACTCCCTTGTTCCTGGTTCTTTGTCTTACGTCTTGGCAGATTTTTCCTCCCTTTTGCTTTACATTGCTTCCATTTTTCAGCACCTTTTGTTTTAAAAGAATATATCCTATATTTTTTAAAAACAAAAGCCGTGAAATGAGATCTGGTTTTGCCCTTCCTCTTGCTATCAGCAGAGTGGCTTCAGGTCTTGTAACTTTCAGGCGTCTATAGAAGTCAAAAGTCACAAGTATGTGGAACAGACACAAACAGTTGAGTTTGTCTGTTATGAATGCTGCCTGCCACCATGTTGCCAAGGACCTATTTTGTCCAGTGTAATATTGAGGCCAACAATACTGTTGACAGAAAACGTCAACAGCACATTTTCGCACAAGTAGGCAAAACTGCTTGCATAAGATTGGCACTGGCATTATCTCAGTTATGGGAGACCCTGCACTGCTTGGGCAGCAGCTACAACAACAAATGGCAAACATACATTCACTACCCTACTGACTGTATCTGCACCTGCACACTTCACCAACCACCACTGCCCCTCCACACATTTCATTGACCGCCACTGTACCATACGTCTCCACTGATTGTATCCAATGTAACCGCATACCACTTAAAGCAGAACTAAACCCTCCTATCCTTTACAGCCAAGGAATCTGTCATCTAAGCCTCTGTTTGATCTGCATTTGCCATGATGCTAAACATGTGATCAGATATGACACCAGCCATTTGATGCCTTGACAGTACATTTGAGAGCACAAGAAAGTTTGATGTTTATTATTCATGGCATGGCATGGATTTAGTTCTGCTTTAATAAACAGCTGCACTATGTATGCTGTGCTGTATTACATTAATGTAGCACTACCTCTGCAGGGACCACTTGATAATGCTTGCCCCCAGTGGTTGCCCTGACCTTGCAAGCCTCCCAACACCTCTGACACTCTGGGTTCAGACATATACTATATTGCCAAAAGTATTGGGACGCCTACCAGTGGTGGCCTGCTTTACATAACTGCATCTGATGTTTTGCATTGTACTTGGTGATGTAAGGCTCGGATGCAGCTGCTCGTCCATGGAAACCCATTCCATGACGCTCTATACACACTGTTGTTGTGCTAATCTGAAGGCCACATGAAGTTTGAAGGTCTATAGCTATTGACTCTGCAAACAGTTGGCGTCTTCTGCGCACTATGTGCTTCATCATGCACTGACTCCGCTCTGTCATTTTATGTGGCCTACCACTTCATGGCTAAATTTCTGTTGTTCCCAGTTGCTTCCACTTTTTTATAATACCACTAATGGTTGACCGTGGAATATTTAGTAGCAAGGAAATTTCCCAGATAGACTTATTACACAGGTGGCAACCTATCACAGTACCACGCTTGAATTCACTGAGCTCCTGAGAGCAACCCATTCTTTCACAAATGTTTGTAGAAGCAGTCTGCATGCCTAGGTGCTTGATTTTATACACCTCTGGCCATGGAGGTGATTGGCACACCTGAATCCAATGATTTGGAGGGGTGTCCCAATACTTTTGGCAATATAGTGTATTTCAGCAATCTAGAATAATAATGCAAGAGGCACAATTCTTTAGCAACACCTCTATATTAGACTTGTTCAAAAGAGTAGGCTACAGGAATAATGGGTTTAGGATTTACAACCCCAGTTAACGCATAAAAGCAGAACAATTTTAATATAGGAGTAATCAATTTGCAACATTTAACAGGTTATACAGACATGAGTAGTAAGCTTCAACTATTTAAATGCAACACCAGCAGCTAGAGGGGGAAGAAAAGGCTTGCTGACTTATCAGCTCCCTGTAAGCCACCCCCACCACAATGGGGCATGCACAGAAATATGTAAATGTGTACCCTGGCATAAATAGATATACTGTAAGCACCCTGAGTTGAATACCAATGGCCTAGAAGAGAAAAGGACCCTTTAACTAGAGACTGCATCTTGAGTCCTGCAATGTTTAACCACTTGCCTACTGGGCACTTATACCCCCTTCCTGCCCAGACCAATTTTCAGCTTTTGGCACTGTCACATTTTGACAATTACTCAGTCATGCAACACTGTACCCATATGATTTTATTTTTCCTTT